ACTTCTGGTACTTGTCTCTTCTTTTTGTGGTCTAAAAATTTTTTAGGAATACTGTTGAGGGAGTCAGTGGGTTCGGACAGAAGTTTCAATTCTGACCTTATTCCCAAATTCCTACTCTCTGGAGGGGGTTAGAATGTCTGACTATTGTGTGTCTCTCTCCTATATCAATCTGGAGGACTAAGCAACAGGCTTTATCACCTTTCTTTGGTTCAGATTTGCTTTCCTGCTGATTACCTCACTTTCCCTTAACACTAGAGCACGCACTCATAGGGGAGAGGCAAATAGCCCTTTGCTCTGAGTGCCTCCCTTTAGACTCCACCTTTGTTTACTCTGGGGCTGATAGCTCTACTCCCTTCCAACTTGCCTTCCCCTTGGTGAAATTGAAGTCCCCAAGGACACAGTATCTCCCAGGGTAGATACATTTGTGAACACAGTGAACTGGAGCAGTCCTTTACTCTCAGGGCTTAAGCTTAACTTCCATTACTCATTTCCTTTTAATTTCATCTGTGGCTTTTGTCTAAAAACAGAAACCCCAGAGTGGCAGAATGCTAGATTTAGGCTAATCCCCTTCTGTCCTTGGCCCTGATCTACCTCCCAGCACCAGTGCCCTGTCAGTTTCTTGCCTTGAGGTGGTTGGTGTGCTTGGGGAACCTCTTTAGCATGGAGGATGGTAATATTCAAACCAAACTCATTTCACAACTGAAGCTGTTGCAGCCATCTTCTCATGTGTCAGAATTGCTGCTGTTTTCCCTCCCTTTCTCCTTGGGATCTTTGCTTCCTGGACAGTGGAGAATTCTGTTATTAATTGAAGGAAGGATTTCAAAGAGTGTATCCTCCAAGCTGGGCAGAGGTGGGTGGGCTGAAAGATCAGAGCCACATCTGGGCATGTTACACCTAGGATGATTAGAATACCGCAAAACAGTGATTCTCAACCTTCCTAATGCCGTGACCTTTTAATACAGTTCCTCATGTTGTGGTGACCCCCAACCATAAAATTATTTTCGTTGCTACTTCATAACTGTAATTTTGCTACTGCTATGAATTGCCATCGGAAATATGTGCTTTCCGATGGTCTTAGGTGACCCCTGTGAAAGGGTTGTTCAACCCCCAAAAGGGTGTCAACTCACAGTTTAAGAACTGCTGGCATAAAGCAGTGTTTCCCAGGGCCATGTTTCCCATTCTGGTTTGTAGAAGCTAGATCCACTCAATCTCTTGGCAGGACTGATTGACAGGCATTTTGCATAGGTTCTGATTTGAAGGAAAGTCAGGTGTGTTTCCTTTTCCCTGTAAATGTAACAGCTTGATTCAGCAAAGCTTTTGTTTCATTTTAAAGAGAGCTGATCCTCTGAGGGGAGGAGGGAAAAAAACCCCAACAGAACAGCCACTGCACCCCAGTGCGGGGTGGGAGGGGGGTGGTCCTGAAAGCTTTTGCTGGAACTCCTATCTGGGGTTCTGCTTTTGTTTTGTTGTGTTTTTTTGTTTGTTTGTTTTTTAATTTTTTTATCTTCACCCGAGGACATTTTTGCATGTTTCTTCAGATAGAGCGGGAGGGAGAGAGGGAGGAAGAGAGAGAAACATTGATGTGAGAGACACATCGTGTGGTTGCCACCCACACGACCCCAACTGGGGCCGGGGACAAACTGCAACCGATGTACATACCCTTAGCGGGAACCGAACCCAGGACTCTCTGGTGCGCGGCCGACACTCTAACAGCTGAGCCAAACCGGCAGGGGCTGGGGTTCTGCTTTTGATACAGCCTTGTTTAATGTGGGAATGTTCTTATGAGGGCAACAGAGATGTGTTTTCTCCTCCTCCCTTTTCAGCCTTGGGGAAAGTTCTGTTGTAAATGCTGATGTGTGGGAGAAACTGCCCGATCCAGCTTGTTGTCATGGAAACAGTGCACCCCACCCCCATAGCCTGTTATCTTCTCCTTTGGGGTAACTACTGGTGAGCTGGAAGGGGACTGAGATTAAATGAGTGTTCTCCAAATCTGGTTCCATTCTTGTGGGGTTTTTTTAGTTCTAGGCATCTGGTGTGAGATAAATTATACTGGCAATGTTTCATAGTTCTTGCCTGATAGCCTGACTTGTTCTTGTAGTCTTGACTTTCTGAATTTGTGGGGGAAATGTATGTTGTCCTAGGAGACATCTGTTTTCCTGGAAGAGACAAAACCAGAGAGAATACTTGTCTTTATGGTATTTTGAATAGTATAGTTAGAGACCCAAGTGGTTTCTTAGTAAATTCAGCTAATGTAGATTTCTAAGTTTTCTTTTCCTGTGGGTTGGTGGTTATATACCACCCCCCAAACTCAGTCCTGTTCCTTGAATACCTCCAATGTTTGTATTTGGAAATTTTTGTGTCTTTAAAAAACAAATTTGTTTATTGATTATACCCTGGCTGGTTTGGCTCAGTGGTAGAGCATCAGCCCATAGACCGAAGAGCTGCAGGTTCGATTCTGGATTCTGGTCAAGGGCACTTACCTCCCTTTCGGTTCAATCCCCAGCCCTGGTTGGCATCATGGGTCGTGTGGGAGGCAACCAATCGATGTCTCTGTCCCTCTCTCTCCCTCCTACTCTATCTGAAAATCAATGGAAAAATATCCTCGGGTGAGGATTAAAAGAAAATTTATCACCCGGCCGGTGTGGGTCAGTGGTTGAGCATTCACCCATGCACCAAGAGGTCACTGGTTCGATTCCTGGTCAGGGTATGTGCCCAGGTTGTGGGCCTGATCCCCAGTGGGGGGCATGCAGGAGGCAGCCAATCGATGTTCTCTCTCATCAATATTTCTATCTCTCTTCTTTCCTCTCCAAAATCAATAAAGAAAACATTTTTTAAAAAATGTATTGATTTTAGAAAGAGAGGAAGAGAGAAACATCAATTTGTACTACTTATTTATGCATTCATTGGTTGTTTCTTGTATGTGCCCTGATTGGGGATCGAATCGACAACCTTGGTGTATCAGGATGATGCTCTAACCAGCTGAACTACCTGGCCAGGGCTCAAATAATCTGATTCTTAACAGGAGTCTTTGGGTTATATCCCTCCCCATAGGCGCTAATGGCACAGATTATTTCTATAGCTACCCCCACCCCAGACTGCCAGGAGGAAATCAGGGTAATTGAATTCAGGTACAATCTGGGCTGTAGAAGAGAGATCGTGTTTACCAAGCACTTGGATAAGCATCTAAACTGGGTAGCATGCAGGGCAGATTAAATTCTTCTATGGTTGTGGTAGTCAGCATACTTGGGGAAGGGAAAAGCAGTCATAGGAAGAAGGCTTTTCTACCAATAGAATTTATCCACATGCAGCTGCCTCTTTTCCTTGTTTCTCATTCCATTACCGAGGAGGCATGGGATTTCTTGGACTCTAGCCTTGCTTGATTATGGGGTGGAAGTCAGGGAGAGGATTGTCCTAAACTGCACTTGGAGGATGAGGCCATGGGACTAAGGGGAATAGAAGAGAGTCACAATTCAGAAGTTTAGAGGAGTGGTATGGAGAAGACATTTTCTTCTGCCCCCAGTTCTTTTTGTAATGTCATAAAAGCAGGTAATTTTAGCTAGAAGAAGCTCCTTGTTAACTTTGAAAAGGTTGGGGGGTGGGTATCCCAGTGGACCAATCTTTCACTTTCTGATTTGGAAATCTTTCACTTTCTGATTTGGAAGGTTATTCAGGTGTGTCAAGGTAGGATAATCAGAGGGTTAACAACTTGACTTAAACAGCAAATTAATTTAGAATCTGTCTGGCTGGGTGGCTCAGTTTATTGGAATGCCAACCTATACACCAAAAGGTCATGGGTTTGATCCCTAGTTGGGGCATGTATGGGATGCAACCAATTGATGTTTCTCTCTCTTTCTCTTTCCCTTCCTCGCTAAAAAAAATTGAATAAAAACATCCTCAGGTGAGGATGAAAAAAAAAAAAAAGTAATCCGCCCTGACCAGTTTCGCTCAGTGGTTAGAGCGTCAGCCACAGACCAAAGGGGCTTGGGTTTGATTCCAGTCAATTACATGTACCTGGGTTGTAGGTTGTGCAGGAGGCAACCAATAGATGTGTCTATCTCACATCGGTGTTTCTCTCTCTCTTTCCCCCCTCCCTCCCTCCCTCCCTTCCTTCCCACTCTCTAAAAATCAATGGAAAATATCCTCGGGTGAAGGTTAACAAAAATAAAATAAAAAATAAGTAACCCAAGGTTCTCTGTTAGAGAAGCCTTGCTTATTTATTCCCCTTTACTTATAAGAGTAAGAACACCTCTAAGCCAGAGCTCAGGCAGAAGGAACCGTTCACTGGCTACCTTTTCTGACACTCAGGAGTTTGAACTGAGTCCAGAAAGGGGGTGATACTAACTGACGCTGGGCTGGGCTGTGCTGGTCAAGGAACCCAGTTTTAAAACACTTTTCTTGCCCTGGCTGGTTTGGCTCAACAGTTGGAGTGTCAGCCTGCAGACTAAAGAGTCCCAGGTTCGATTCCGGCCAAGGGCACGTACCTCGATTGCGGTTAGTCCCCGGCCCCAGTTGGGGTTGTGCGAGTGGCAACCAATCAATGTGTCTTTCTCACATCTATGTTTCTCTCTCTCTCTCTCTCTCTCTCTCTCCCTCCCACTCTATCTGAAAATAAATGTAAAAATATCCTTGGGTGAGGATTAAAAATAAATAAAACACTCTTCTTATGGAACATACAGTAGTTCATTAATGGAAAAAGATAGGAAACATGTATATTATATATATATATATATATATATACACACACACACAAATACATTCATACACATATATTTTTTATTTATATATGTGTGTGGTGTGTGTGTGTGTGTGTATACATATATACATATACATAAAATCCCAGTGATCTCCACCTAGATCTTACATGTATCTGAGCTAAGGCAGGTTCTACTCTGCTAGATTTTAGCTTCTTTTATGGTAGTCAACCCAAATCTTACTATTATAGTTGTATTCCTTTTCACCAAGCCTCTGCTTCCTTTTTCCATTCTTGTATTCAAACGCAGGCTGAGGCTGAGGTGGCCTCCTTGAATCGTAGGATCCAGCTGGTTGAAGAGGAGCTGGACCGTGCTCAGGAGCGCCTGGCCACTGCCCTGCAAAAGCTGGAGGAAGCTGAGAAAGCTGCCGATGAGAGCGAGAGGTGTGTAGAGGGGCCCGATGACGCGTGTATTTCAAAAGAAATCTGTAATGGCTAGTCTCTAATCAAGATTTCCTTATAGACCTGTTTTTTAAAATAATTGTCTTACAGGATCCTCATTCCTTCTGTTCTGCATATTCTCTCCACTTGAAGACAGAGTAAAGGTTACCTGAACCCTGTAACCCTTTTGTAATTGGTTTCTTTATAAATTGATCCTTAAGTGAGTAACAAACTTATTTGTGAGATTAGTTCCTCTAAAGCAGTGGTACTCAAAGTGAAATTCCAGACCAGCAGCACCTGGGAACTTGGTAGAAATTCAGATTCTCAGTCCCTACCGTGATCTATGAATCAGAAACCCTGAAGGTAGAGCCCAGCAATCAGTGTTTTAAAAATCTCTCTCAGCCCTGGCTTCACTGTTAGAATCATGGGAGTAAGGGGTGGGGATCATTGGGAAGTTTTAAAATATCAGAATGCCTAGATCCCACCCCACTTCAATTAGAATCCATTGCAAGAGAGACTTGGACATTGATGTTTTTAAAGTTCCTCTGATAATTTTCATGTGTGCTCTAAGTTGAGAACTGTAGTCCTTGAACCAAATCACAACTCATTTTTGTTGAAAACAGCCAGCTGACTCCTTGCCATATGTAAGTTAAACTAGAACAGAAGTGTGTGATGATTTGCATGGGATCAAACTGAGGCTTTTCAGAATTAGAAATGCCCTTATTGGGAATGCATTAACAGTGTAGCTGTGAAAATGAATAAGACAGGCAGCTGTGTGTATACTACTATAGAGTAGTGTCCAGATTATTGAAAGTGAGGATAACAAGTTGCAGAACAGCATAGTATGTGATTTCTTTAGGATGTGAGAAAGTGGAGATGAGATTTTTTGCGTTTTATCTATAGAAAACATTCTGGAAGGATTATGAAGTAAGCAACTACCTCTGACTAGCAGGACTAGAAGTAGAGAGTTATTTTTCACTTTATGCTCTTAGACTGTACACTTAAATATTTAATTTCTTTTTTAAATATTAATTTCTTAATAAGTATTGTTTTTATAAAACAAAATGAACTAAAGTTGGAGGTGCTATGTAAATTCTGTTTTTTTTTCCTTCGTTGATTTTTTTTTTTTTTTTATCCTCACCCGAGGATATTTTTCCATTTTTTGTACAGATAGAATGGGAGGGAGAGAGAGGAAGGGAGAAAAAGAGAGAAACATCGACATGAAGGGACACATCGAGTGGCTGCCACCCGCACGACCAACCAGGGCCGGGGACAAACTGCAACCGAAGTACGTGCCCTTAGCGGGAACCGAACCCGGGTCTCTCCGGACCGCAGGCCGACACTCTAACCGCTGAGCCAAACTGGCCAGGGCTCCTTTGTTGATTCTAAAAAGAGGGAGAGAGAGATAGAAACATCAATGAGAGAGAACATTGACTGGCCGCCTCCTGCATGTTCCCCATTGGAGATTGGGCCCACGGCCTGGGCATGTGTCCTGACCGGGAATTGAACTGATGACCTCTTGGTGCATGGGTTGACGCTCAACCACTGAGCCACATTGGCTAGACTATGTGAATTCTTTTTGAGTGGCAAGCACAGAGGAATGGTCTTTTAATATGTGCAATTCTGGGTCCCTTGGAATGGCAATGCCACATTTGTCCTTATTTTTTCTGACAGAGGTATGAAGGTTATTGAAAACCGAGCTTTAAAAGATGAAGAAAAGATGGAACTCCAGGAAATCCAACTCAAAGAAGCTAAGCACATTGCAGAAGAGGCAGATAGGAAGTATGAAGAGGTAAGGCGCCTTTTGTTTGTCCCTTTCATCAGTGGCACTGAGGTTCTGAAAAGAACCATGAGAGGGAAATAGCTCCTTGTTTGCTTCACTGAGCTATACTCTGGTCTTCTGTAGGTGGCTCGTAAGTTGGTGATTATTGAGGGAGACTTGGAACGCACAGAGGAACGAGCTGAGCTGGCAGAGTCGTGAGTGTCTTGCTTCCCAAATCTTTGCCCTACATTCTGTTCCTTCTCCCTTGGCTTGGGCACTAATGTGAATAAACTAGCATTCATTCAACCTTGTTAAACAGGGCCTAGAGAGGCCATTATCTATAGTGCTTTTTTAGACCCTATGAATGACTTTGGATTTTCTTCCTCTTTTGACTAGTGACAGGTGACAAATTGAGGCTTTCTTATTTTTTGTAGGGAGGGTTTATAAGTAGGGGTAAGATAAAGACTAATGGTGGACTGTTAACTGGAAGGGTTCTTCCACCTGGTCTGTTTCTCCATGAGGCCTTGAAGTGGCTATACTGACTTCAGGTCTGTCTCTGTTTTTACCACTTTGCCAATTGGCTGGGGAACTTTAGGGCAAGGGCAGGCATGAATGGCCTTCCTGTTGGCACCTTCTGGGCCTTGCATAACAAAGTTATTGCTGGTGCATATATGTATTTGTGCTTCCCTTGCATTCCCCTCTCCCTATACATGACATATCATGAGTTTGGTGGTGTTTTCTTCCCATTTTTTGAAAAATTTTTTTTTTCCATTTTGCTGCTTGTTTTCTTGCTGTGTTTCCTTTTGACCTTTCTCCCTCCCCACAACCTGGCTTGTGCGACCCCCGTGACTATCACTAACAGCCGTTGCCGAGAGATGGATGAGCAGATCAGACTGATGGACCAGAACCTGAAGTGTCTGAGTGCTGCTGAAGAAAAGGTACTAACCATTAAACCCACAGAGAGGTTATATGTATGGTGTGGTTTTGTTTTTGTTTTGCAGCTGCCTTCCCTCCACTGGTTGATTTGTTGAGTGCTTTCTCATCTCTTCATGGAATGCTCCATTCTTTTCTATTTCTTGTCATCTTTCATCTTTTCTTTCCTAGTTGCTTCACTGCCTCCACAGGGTCTTTCCTTCCCTTGGGCGATTTAGGGGACTGTTGGGTTGGGCATCTGTTCCCACCTCCACCCCAGGTAGCAGTTATGACTTGTTTCCTGGTGTTTTCTTTATTGGTATCCAAACATTCTGAGTCCTAGCCCATGAGGGTCTAGCTCCTGACGGTCTATGGTAGAGGGAGGAGGGTTGTTGCTTGCTCAGATTACCTGGGACCTTCTCTTTTTCCTGGTATGCCTTCCAACTCTCTACATATAGGTTCAATTCATGTCTATGTCTCTCTCTCCCTTTTTTTTTTTATTCTCTTCTTCCCCTTTCTTTTCCTGCGGTATGTAAAATATTCACAGTAAGTGTTCTGAGCTGGAGGAGGAGCTGAAGAATGTCACCAACAACCTCAAGTCTCTTGAGGCTCAGGCGGAGAAGGTAGGGGCTGGTTTGTGAAAGTGACAGGCTTTGGGGGCCTGGGCCCAGCCCTACCCTTAATGACTCATTCCTTATATAATTCAGTGAGAAGTATCCTCTTTCTACCCACCTACCCTCTATCTGGATTCTGGGTTTAATGCTAATTTTTGTGCACTTTGATTGTTTTAGTTAAAATAACTTCATGGTTTCGGGTGCCTGGGGTCATGTTCTTAAGCTGATACTGCTATGCTAAATGACAGTGATCGTGGGTCCTAACAGGTTTTCTAGCAGACACATGGGGGCAACAGATAGGATCAGATTGAGACCTACTAAGCAATCAAAACAGAAGACTTATCTTTATTGTCATGTGAGACTGTTTCAGCCATGTGGGCTTGGGGTGTCACTGTACCTACTCATTAGGTAGGAGAAAGGAAAAGTACCCCCTGGGTTGATCTGAATAAGGTCAAAGCTTAGGTCCTTTAAAAAAATAAGGGTGTCATGGCTCTTATGACATTGATTTATGGATTTTAAGGTTTTATTGTCCAGAAACAGAACTTGCTCTTTGTTACGGACCAACCATTGAGCATATTATATCCAAGATGATATTTAATGTAAGAGTAAATGTGGAGCCAGGGGTGAGGTGTTATCTGTGTAAGTAATTTCTACTCTGAAATTTTTATTCTATTTCTCTTACAGTACTCTCAAAAAGAAGACAAATATGAGGAAGAGATAAAGATTCTTACTGATAAACTCAAGGAGGTGAGCTGAGGGAAAGGACCCAAATATTTAGAGGTATAAGGCATAATGTAGACTGGCTGGTTTTGGTGCTAAAGGGTGTAGAAGTAGAAGGTGAAGATATAGAGATTCTTCTTTTATTTGTCTTGTTCATCTCTGATTCTGATGGGTTTCATATTTCCCCTAGGCAGAGACCCGTGCTGAATTTGCTGAGAGATCGGTAGCCAAGCTGGAAAAGACAATTGACGACTTGGAAGGTATGGAGCCCAGGAGAGGAATTAAAATACAGAAATATAGAGGAAGACCTTGCCCATTGACCATTATCCCCTTTCCCTGGATACCAAAGGGAATTAGTAGTGACTTGACAAGCATCCTGTGCCCTACCACAACTAGAATAGAATTGGCTGTCTACATTTAATCTTTGCCTTTAGTAAGACTTTACCTAATATTCTGGAATTTGCATCCTTCCCTTGGAGACTGGTAATGGCTGCATTTATTACCAATTTAGTAGTCTTAAATCTTTAGTTTCTGGATTGAAATGGTAGCCATACTTTGAGAAGGCAACAAGAACATGTGTCACTCCATGGCTACTTTTGGCAATCCTGTTCACTGCTCAAGTGGTGGGGAACCTCTGCAAGAGACACAGCTGTGGAATAACCACGTCTGAGAGCTGACCAATGCCATGGGCTTTCTAAATACTTCCTGTCTCCACAATTTGGCAACAGGGTCCACTATAACAAGGATAAATGTACTTTGCTCTGAGAGCTCTGAAATATGCTCCTTTGGTATACTATGGGTAGCAGGATATTCTTATTTTGGGAGAGTTTGGGGCAACAAACCTGTAGAGCAAAGGGGACAAGAATATTGGTTATGTGTGGCAGCTAGTGAAGTGTCTGATATTAATGTGTACTTTCTCTATTATTTTTGTTAAATTAACCGTTATCACTGCTAGAAATTGGGTTAACGATAACGGCATTGGGAACCTTCTTGAGTGCCTTTAGTAATAGGAACTTCTGGTCATGACTGTGCCCAGCTTCTCAACCCTTGCAGCAGTTCATTAGAGGTATCAACAAGTCCAGTTTGTCCTGGGGGACAGTGGATCTGAAAATGGCCAGTTATGACTGCCAGTATAGAAGTGCTCTTAACTGTGGTATTAGACCCATGGTCACACTTTCCCTAATTTCTAATGATTCCCTCTCTTCATCTGCTTTTGATACCTTTCACTCTGTCCCCTTGTTCCTCCCTGTGGTTCCTGTGCCTGTCCAGATGAGCTCTATGCCCAGAAACTGAAGTACAAGGCCATTAGCGAGGAGCTGGACCACGCCCTCAATGACATGACCTCTATGTAACTATCTGACAGCAGATGGGGGTGGGACCTTGGCTTGTGGGTGAGCGGGGGTTATAGACTGCATAATATGCTTTGGTTTTATCCTCTGGACATGAGAATCTCCACCCTTATCTCTAAAACATTGGTGCTGGTTACTTGTTGGCAAGAGCTGGGGAGGCATTTAATCTTGGATCAGTGGTAGAACCCTGATCTACATGTAATTTTATTCATAGTCCCTTCATTACAATATTATTTTTCTATTTGTTTCTCAAATTTAGTTTTTTCAGAAGGGATACTGCTGAAGGTAGAATATGTCATCATACGACTAAGGAAATAGGTCCCAGAGATCCAGTGACTGGGGCTCTAACATTACATAACAAAACTCACATCTCCTGGGTATATTTGATTTGTGCCTTGATAATTAAAATTCAGGGGAAACACCCATAATTGGAAAAAATTAAGTTTACCGCAAATTGAATTTGATTCCCAAATTTTAGTCCCAGAGCAAGCCAGGTAGTAAAAAGCACCAAAAGAGTTGTTGGGGACTTCACCTGTTTGCTGTGGATCCCAGGTCCTGATGCTAATCTGCCTCTTAATATCTTGCCCACTAACCTTGAAAAGAAGCCAAATGACTCAGCCTATAGTGTCTGGCTGTCTTTTATCATTCCACTGCCACCTGTTCCTTTTTCTCTGCTTCCTTTCTCCCAAGTTGTTGTGTAGATTGATGATAGTCCTTCTCACCTAGAGTCTCCTTTTTCATACAGATAACTTACCACCGTTTCTGCTCTGTTCTGGATCTGCCCCCTTTTCTTGGGGACCCAACGCCCCACTCTCACTCTGGATTCCATTTGGGTCGGCCTGGCTGGTCCCCAAGGCATTAGGATGGGTGGAGGGGCCACAAAGCAACTTATGTATTCTCTTCCACCCCCACCCCAAATTAAAATGTTAAGATGCTGGAAGCCTCATGCCACCCTGCATTTGTGTCGTTGACAAAGCTGCTGCTGTCCCTAAGAAGGAGCCAACTATTGTAGGCTCTCCCTCCTCTGACTTATATAATCAAAGCCACTTTTGTGTGTGTCTTTTTTTTCCTTGACATTTAAACTCTACTGATCTCTGAGTCTATCAGAATGGTGGACTAGTTAGTAGAGGAGCTCTAGTCTTGTTCAAGCTGAATGAGATTATCTAAGTCCTTTACTTCCTGTTCTTAAGTCATCCTGTATCCATCCTCTCTTCAGGTTCTCCTTTAATAGAGTAAGGTCGAAAGACCATTGAAGTGCCAACAAATACACATTTTCTACCCTTTTGCCAGTGGTTCAAATGGTGTGTCCTCAGAACATCCAGTGGACTGAAATATATTACCATTAACACTGATCATCCCAAATCACAGAAAAATACATGATGGATAGAATTTTCAACAGTTTTATGTTTTCTTCTTGAAACCTTTATTGCATATTTGAGGCCTACTACCATTTGCCTCCTACTATGTGTTAGTGGAATGTGAGACAAGTGATAAATGATTACTGGAAAAACTAAAACAACCAAGCATGCCTGTTTCAAATAATGTTCACGGGGTGGTAATAGTTTATTACATGCATTAATATGATAAATTTCTGCTAGTAAAACTTTTCCTGGTTTATATTATGGAATCAAATATCAGCATTTTGGAAACTCCTGTTCCAGTTCACACAGCAGAGGTGATTCAATCTGGATGGCATATTGTTCAGTTGTGCTTATCTAAGCACCTAAGTGTTGTTCACTTAGTACTTTAGTTTCTCAGCAGGGTATATATTTAAATTTTTCTTTTTTTTTAATTTTTAAAGAGAGGAAGGGGGAAAAAGAGAGAAAAAAAAAAAACATTTATGTGAGAGGGAAACCGATTGGTTGCCTCTCTCGCATGCCCCTCAACTGGGGATTGAACCCACAATCTGGGTATGTGCCTGGACTGGGAATCAAACCCCCCACCTTTTGGTATATGGGACGTTGTTCCAACCAACTGAGCTACACCAGCCACGGCAAATTTTGCTTTTCTTTTAAACAGATACAGGCAGGTAGAGAGGTTTTCTCTGATATAAAACTTGAATTCAGGTTTGTTCGTTTTTTTTTCTGTCCATACCATTTCTTCCTGCCACACAGCCTTTGAGATTAAGATACAGATCATTTATTCAGCTGACACTTTGCTGGTATTTTCTAGGCACCGGGTATTAAAATAGGGACAGAAATAATCAAAGACAGAGACAGCATTCCTACTTGCAGGTTGCTCAGAATCTATTAGGAGAGAGTATACCTATGTCTATATCTAGAGATGATGTGTGAAAAGTGCCACAAATAATAAAGTGCTTCAGTGGGGGGATGATTCCTGTGGGTATGTTTAGGAAAGATGGAGGGAGGCATGTAATAGGTACTTAATAAACATATTAAAACTCGCCTCTTTGTTTTTATTAGGTTTGAAAAGATTGGATTTTTGACAAGCAGACCTTGGTTAAGGCGTAGTGGACATTGAACATTTCAGTCAAAAAGATGCGAAAGAATAAAGGCATAGATAAAGATGGGAAGGACACAATATCTATAAAGGTAGATTTAGACAGTATAGGGACAGGTGTGTGCTGAAATCAGGCTGGAGGGGTTTAATTTTGTAGGTGATGGGGATGCCACTGGAGATTTTGAAAAAGGATGTGTTTTGGTCTGCATAGCATATGAGAAGAGTTAATTTGCCAGCTGAGTTAATATATTGGAAGAGAAGCCCTGGCCAGTTTGGCTCAGCAGTTAGAGTGTCGGCCTGTGGTCCAGAGAGACCTGGGTTTCGTTCCCCCTAAGGGCGTGTACTTCAGTTGCAGTTTGTCCCCGGCCCTGGTTGGTCGTGCAGGTGGCAGCCACTCGATGTGTCCCTTTCACACCGATCTTTCTTTCTCTCTCTTCCTCTCTCTCCCTCCCACTCTATCTGAACAAAAAATGGAAAAATGTCCTTGGGTGAGGATAAAAAAAATGTGTGTGTATATATATATATGAAGAAAAGCAGGTAATCAGAGTGATCCATTAAGACAGTGATTCCCAAATTTCAGTCGTTTGCATACCACCTGGGGACACTTGCTGCCTACATCATTGTTTCCTTCAAATTTACTCTTGTTTTCAAATTTGTTTTATTCTTATTCTACACAGTTATAATTTGAAATTAAAGGTTTGGTGTGTGCTAGTGTTTTTCCTAATGCACATTAAAGTAATACAGATAATAAATTTTTTTTTAATTTACAAATGCATACTGCTTGACATCTCACCTGCCACTAGCAGTGACTATGCCATACTTTAGGAAATGCTGGGTTAGTTTATTGCCATTTTCCCAGGGATATTCTGAACTAGAGTAATGGTGATAAAGAGATGGCATGAGGATGGGTATTTTGAAGGAACTAGTCACTAAATGTGAGGAGGAAAAGTCAAGGAGGACAGGTTTTGAGCCTAGGAAAATGGTGATGTTAAAGGTGTAGGGAGGCCCAGCCAGTGTGGCTCAGTTGACCTCTGCACCAAGAGGTCGCCAGTTCGGTTTCTAGTCAGGGCACATGCCCAGGTTGTGGGCCCGATCCCCAGTGGGGGGCATGCAAGAGACGGCCAATCAATGTTCTCTCTCATTGATCTTTCTATCTCTCCCTTTTTCTCTCTAAAATCAATAAAGAAAACAAATTTTAAAGATAAAGGTGTAGGGAGGTCATGTGGTCCTAGTTTGGGGATACAGGGAAAGGTAGAAAAGAATATCTGAAAAACTGGAAAGTATCCAGGTGAAAAAAACCGGGGGCTTGGCATTGGCCTGTTAGTTCAGTGGTTAGAGCGTAGGCCCACGGACCAAAGAATCCTGGGTTCAATTCCAGCCAAGGTCACGTACCTCGGTTGCAGTCCGTACCTGGCCCTGGGTGGGGTCTTGCGGGTGGCGGGTGGTAGCCAGTCGATGTGTCTCACATCGATGTTTCTCTCTCCTTCCCACTCTGTCTGAAAATACTTGTAAAAATATCCTCGGGTGGAGATTTTTAAAAATGAAAAACCTGGGGCTTGAGGCAGGGAGAGGTTCATGGAAGATTTGAGAATTCGTAAGGGTCGTAGGCAGTTTAGGCCATGGAAGTAAATTAGAGCCCTAATGTAAAAAGAATTAAGCTAAGAGAAAAATCGCTAGAGGAAGAAGCCAAATGGAATTGGTTGGAGGGATAGAGGATAATGAGTAGCTTTGATACTTGAAGTTCAGGGCTAATGATTTCCAGTGATTCTCAACTTCGATACGTTAGGACGGAAGATAACTGAAGATGGGATGTTGTCATTGATACTTTATTCATTTGAAGGTTATCTTTTGAGCCATAAGATCAAGGGGAAGAGCCATATTTCACAGAGCAAAAAAAAGTGACTCGGTGGAAAGTATAGTAGACATTAGCTACATATGGCTGTTGAGCCCTCAAAATATGGCTAATATTACTGAGGGGCTAGATTTCAAATCCTATCACTTTTAGTTCATCTAAATTTTCTAAGCCATATGTGGCTAGTGGCTACTGCATTATATAGTACAATCCTAGATGTTTTGGTATTTGAGCAGGAGTTGACTTTGGCACAGAGAAAGGCTTCTTAGAAAGGAAAGAAGAGAGAATGGAGATAAGGCAAAAAGTGGAGTGTTATTCTGGTAGCTGCCATCTTTCTCCATGGCCATGACTGATGTGAGCAAAGATCGAGATACCAGCAGGCCAGGGGAGCTGAGTAAATTTGAAATTCTGTGTCATGTTAAATTCATTCTTTTCTTTCCTTTATTGGTTTTTAGAGGAAGAGGAAGAGATAGAAACATCAATGAGAGAGAACATGGATTGGCTGCCTCCTGCACACCCCCATTGGGGATTGGGCCCACAACCTGGGCATGTGTCCTGACTGGGAATTGAACCAGCGATCTCTTGATGCATGAGTTGATGCTCAACCACTGAGCCACACTGACTGGGCATCATTCTTTCATTTAATACTCTGTATCCTTGCAGAAACCATCCTATAATACTTAAGTC